TGCGTGGGTGCATGGGTGCGTGGGTGCGTGGGTGCGCGGGTGCGTGGGTGCGTGGGTGCGTGTGTGTGTGTGTGTGTGCGCGTGTTGACCTAGAGTTGTTTTGCACAAGGTAATCGAATCTCCCTAGTATAAACCACTCCCCCCCATTAAAAAGGGGGGGGAGTTTTATTAGGAAGTGTATTTTTAAAGGATTTTTTGGGCTTTTGGCTTCTTGGCTTTTCGGCTTCTTGGCTTCTTGGCTTTTTGGCTTCTCGGCTTCTTGTTGGTTTATGCGGCTTTTTGTGGCTTTTTGGCTTTGGCTTTTTTCGCATCCTCTGCATTCCCGGTTCCTCTCCGGCAGGTGGCGTTTTGGCTTTTGCGGCTTTTCGCTGGTTTATGCGGCTTTTGGCGGCTTTGGCTTTCTCATTCTCTGCTTTCCCAGTTTCTCTTAGGCTGTTCCTGGTTTATAGAGCCTTAATTCCCCGAATGATAAAACCTCGTCGCTCAAGGCAACCCTTGGGTGTCAAAGAAAACGTGGAGCCTTCTTGTTTCAACACACTCTGGAGGGGGGACCCCTAATAAGCATACTTTGGGAGCCTGGTGGAAAGCATGTGTACTCTCAGGAGTTTAGTATTAATTTAGTGTTGGACAATTCAAATTTAGTATTGCCGATTTTTTGCCGCGGCTCGGGGGAGTTTTATTATTAGGGGTAGGTTGATTAATAGGAAGAAGTTATTAATCTCTGACTCACATCGATGCAGAATTATGGGACGTCCTGAGGCGTCACACGTCTCAGGTTATGCTTGTAGGGCCCAGCTGACTAGGGCAACCCTTGCCAAGGGTTGCCCTTCCCTTGTTGTATTGGTGTCCGGCCCCGGGTTACGTATTATACGGATCCCATTCTGAGCAACCCAGCTTTCTTGGTGGATGGCCTCCCTGGGCAGGGCGGGGGGGGGGGATCCTTGCGGGGCCCAAGGCAAGAGCACGGCGCACCTCATCTTTGCACTCTTCGATTTGGACCAGGACCGGCCAAACTGTCAGACTTGCAATGCTGTTGTCTCTTTTGGCAGTCGTTGTTGTTTGCTCATCTTGTGATATCCGTTTTTTGCTTCTGCTGTTCTAGCTGCTTCTTCCTTTGCTTCCGCTGCTGCCCAGCAGTTCCTTTCACTGGGCGACTGCGAGACCAACGCAACCGTGGGGCTCGGGCTGGAGTAACCACACAAATTCGACATTTGTTTAAACCGCATCGTTTCGCAACTGGGGGCTGTCAACGGTGATTAATTCTCTGACAAAATGAACTCAACCTTGAAGTTCCTTGTTGGCGCAGTCAGGACGGCAACATCGATGAGAACGAGCGCAGCTCCCAGCAATGGACAGAAGAGTCCGCGCCGAGGTGGTAGGCAACAGTACTCCGAGCAGGCCACACAAAAATCAAGTTGTGTGCGGCCATCAGTGTTCTTGAAAGAGGCCTCGAGAAAAAACGGGCGGCAGGAAGCGATTGTGGGGGGATTGGCCAAATCGAAGGCTTGGCCGCTGTGGCACTTGCAGACCCCAGTCCATGCCCCTGGTCGCCCCTTTAAAGTCGGATGCCCTCAAGGCGATACACATCACATTCAGAGTGCAAGAGCGAATTCAGCTTATGTGCCTTTTGCAAGTTTCAGCTGGGAGAGGCAGAAAGCTGAACAGAGTGGCCTTTACGATTTTACGCTATGTTGCACTTTGATGTGGTTCAAGGCCGTGGTGACGTTCGAGAAGAATACTTGTCCTAGTGTCGATGACCCTGTTTGTTCAATCTCACCAGGAGCTTGGCGCCCTGAAGCGCCACGAGACTCCCTTTTGTCTCTGGCGACTGGCTGTCAAGCGCGACCGTCTTTGAAGGTCCCTTTCACTTGGGAGGCAAGCTATTCTTACCACTGCGCCCCTGGGAATTTAGCAGCGAAGCGTTTTTTTGGATGTAGGTGCCCTCATGGAAAAGGCTTTTTTTTTTGCGCCATTCTGGGCAGTCACCTCGGGTCAGTGCAGTGCTTCCCATGCGGTGCCGCAAAAAGCCGAGGTTTAGGGAGGTGTTCCGCTTCTACCAGGGGCATAAGCCCACGGAGGACTGCTCAAATGTTCGGGTCTTCTCAGATGAGTCAGCGCTTGGTAATGTTGCAGCCCTGTAAGGTGTCCAATGAGGACTGCTTGCTCCCAACTAGTTGCAAGTACTACAGGCAGGGTTATATATAGAGCCAGCTTCATCTATCTAAAGAAATGCCCCTTGATCTTTGCGGAGCATCTAAAAGATCGCAAACATCTCAAAAGAAGACATGTGGTGTCAGAAGACATACCACGCCTCAGAAGGCATTTGTGGTCATCTTTTGGAAGGGGTAGAAGGCCATGCTTGGGGCTGCCATTGTGACATTGACACACTGTTGCGCTGTGCGTTTTCAGGAGCTAGTCGCGTTTACATTGAATCATGAACATGTGCGCTGCCAGGCCAGGTGCGGGAGGAATTGGCTTTCAAGCAGTGGGAATCAGTGTCTCAAGATTTGGGATCATGTATGCCGTATATCGTCAGGCCACTGGCGTGGCCCAGTTGCACATTTGACCTGGTGCGGTGGGCAAATGGGTCTGTGCTTTTTTACCATGTCAGTTCTTTAGTCTTGGTGGGAGGTGGGGCTTGGGCGAGCCATACCCCCGAATCATACCCCGAATCATACCCCCGATTCATACCCCGATTCATACCCCCGAAAAAGTCCAAAAAGGAGTTCAAGAACTGCTGACCTTGCAAGCCTGCTTGAAGCCCTTAGCTAAGGGTATGCAAGTAGGGCCTGTCCTGCGGGCAATGCAATAAACTGCCTGTCCCCAAGCAGCTGGCGTTTAGGGTAAAAGCTACAGGTTAGCTCACAGTTCGTCCGCAGGCTCGCACGAGCTGCTTGCTGTTTATCCCAAGTGCGCTTTCGCTGCTTTGTTAAGCGGTGGACTTGCGCGCTCGGCCTTGGTACGTGTACTGCCGCTCCGGCGCGGGTCGAAAAATGACCAAGAAGGCTTGAAAACTCTGTGACGGACATCTCGCCCCTGCTGCTACGTGGTTGAGAGTTTGACCACTAACCAAGCCTTTGCTGACTTTGCGCGGGTTGACACGCTCTGCTTCATAGCTTCACATGGCGCGGGCCTGTTCCAAGTGCAAGGGTGCTGCCGCTTGCAGCAGCCCCGCATGATTGCAAGCTTTCTTAGCCATGCTCGCTTTGCGTTTTTTCCGTTAGCAAAAATCTTCCCCGCGATTCATACCCCCGATTCATACCCGATTCATACCCCGAGTCATACCCTTTCGCAGCCATCTGCAACCAAGAGCCTCTTGCGCTCTGGGCGCGATTGTGAAGCCACAGGGACCAGATCTGCAGAAGCTAGGCAAACAAAGGGGGGGACTGCAGAACGACGCCGCCCAGGTCCATTTGAAGCTCGGCTGTGTGAAATAAAAGTGACGCGGCAACGTGAGCCTACCACACTCTACCACTGTGTCAGTTTTGCGCAGCGGTTCCCCTGCGTAGAAATCCACACTCAGTACCCCCCAAGGGCAAGCCAGGGAAACACGGTACACCACCTGTGAGAGGCCCACTAGCCTCTGCGAGGCTGCCGTTTGAGGATGTTACGCTGTCTTGCCCTTACGCTGGTTCGTGACTGGTGCGGGTGGCGGGCCTGCTGGGCAGCGGCGCTTCCCCTTAAGCAACGCTTGCTTGGGTCTGTGAGCACGCGGGTCGCTTGAACTCCAAGTGGAGGTGGCAATGACGTTCGCCGCGGGCAGTGGCTCCGCGCCTTCCACCTAGCGCAGCAGCTTTCGCACACCCACCCACGCAGAGTGGCAGCTGTCTAGTTCAGGCCACCCACAAGCGCCCCAGGCTGGCTTGTAGCAACTAAGCGGTCCAAATTCTCACGGCTATCCAGTTGCCAGCTCACGGAAGCTTTGCAGTGTCCAAAGCCACAAAGCAAGAGTTCAGAGGCGCGCGAGCCATACCCCGAATCATACCCCCGAGCCATACCCCGAACCATACCTGCGATTCATACCCCTTATACCAACCTCCCGGCACGGCCACGTCAAAAAAACACATACCCAAATGGCACACGGAGAGCATCGAGCCGAATGGCGGAACATGACAACACATGTCACTTTGCCTCACGCAGATTCGTTGTCAACGAGGGATTTGTTTGATGTGTGTGGCACCCTGTTCGGCCAAGGGGAGGTGTTGGGAGACGCCATGGCACTGCTCCGGCTGCTGCTCCTGCTGGTCTCTGCGGATGCTGGCCCTGGCTGTGTGGTGGGCAACTGCGCAAAGGAGCTGACAAGGCGGGGCGACCAGAAGCTGGGACTCAGGGGCTTGTGGGTCGCAGGTCGGAGCTTGTGAATGTCTGTGTGTTTCGTGTGGGTTTGCTTGGCATGTTTTCATGTGGCTCGTCCAGACCATGCAGGTCCAAGGTGTCGTTCAAACCCTTGTGTGTGAAACAAGAGGTTTGCTTCACCGCACTTGGGGGCAAATCTGCAACTTTGAAGATTATCAGCTTCACACGCCTTTCACAGTCCTAGCATCTTGGGCATTCCATAGGAAGTTGGCATTCAAACTGGCTTGCTGTGGCCTCCTTGCATTTTGCCTCGAGCGGCTTTTGGCCACGAAAAGGGGTTCCCTGGATTCGACAAGCATTCAGCTTTCAACAGGTCGAAACATGATCTCCCCTCAGGTCTTTTTTTTGTGGCGTAGACTCAACCCCTCGCCTGGGTTGACTGGTCAGGTGCTTGGTGGATCCCGTGTGCCGGCCATGGATGCTTTGCACACCCAGGTGCAAGGAGAATGACCTGGCTTGCCAGACTTTGGCTTGCAAGCAGTGCAGCAGTTCGTTTCTTTTGCTTTTGCTTGCGGGTGGTCTTGCAGTCAGCCAAGTGAATTCCTTTGTATCACCTGTCATTTGCAACCTTCTGTGGTCATGTCCCCCCAGTTTGCTCTGGCAAGATCCTGGCCAGGGCATGTGACAGTCGGTGCACATGGCCAATGGCGGCAATTCCCAACTTTGAATTGTCCGTTCAGATTTCGATTGTTCTGTGGCGACCCTTGCTACCTGCAGTCGGTACCCTGCAAATGAACCGACATGACATGCGCCCTCCCTTCATGGCCAGCAGGAGTGGTTCAGCACTGTGCCTTGCAAGTCTGGCAACGCCTGGTGTCAAGCCACAAGAAGCCATGCCCAAGGGAAACCAGGGGGTGTTTGTGCAGGGTTCCTGGCCGCTTGAAAAACAACAACTCTCCGGCTGATTTAGGGGGATCCCTTGTACAGCATGGGGGGTTCTGTGATCTGTGCGTGCGCAAACGCCCAAACTGGCATGTCATTCTTTCAGCATACCGTTCTTGGTGTTTGTTCAATTAAACTGCAAAAGATAATAGGGGGGATTCAAAGCCTATGCATCACAAAACCAGATCTTGGGGTATTGGGCTTGGGATTTGTGGGTCTGGTTTTAGAGTCTTAGAATGTACCCATCCATCCGAGGATCCGGTGCGGAGACCTCTACAAGCCCACGGACAGCTCGGCCGCAGGCATCGAGGCCTTCAGCCGCTGCGCCATCTCGGAGCACCACTGCGTGAAGCGCCAGGAGCTGAGCTGCCAGGCTCTCGGCCGGGGGGGGGGCTGTGTCAAGGTGTCCATCCGCGAAAGTGAGTGTTTGGGCGGTCTTTGTTGGAGAGCTTGGTAAGCCTTGATTCTTGAAAGAAACTGTAGTGAGGCATTTGCTCGTTTCGGCCTTGCGTAGCTCGATTTTTTGGGAGGTGGGTGCCGACCCTTGGCAAGCACAGGAACCATACCCCCAAACCACTACCGTCAGGGCAAGATGGTTCATATGACCCCAGCAAGGCCAATTGTGCAACCAGCCTACTTGTTGCAATTTTGTAGACGGATAGAGCTGGAGAAACCCTCCACCCACATCCCCGGCACCATACAGGCAGAAATGGGTGCTTTTTTTCTCCGGTTGGCAAACAAGAAGGAAACACAAAGGGCATCCATTTTAGGTGCCCGTTTGGAGACCATCCCAGACGCCCCGCAGCTCTGCGAAAGGTGCCTCAGGGCGACTTCTCCCAGCGCCTGGATTTGTCTACGCTCACTGGCACCTGGCGCCTTGGGAGACAAGCCTGGAGGGAGGGTGGTTGTCCGAAGCATGGGGCCTCTTGTGGGACCCAGGGCTACCCTTTTTGTTTGGCTAGCCTCGCTGTCAATGATCCCTTGAGTTTTCGCACTTTCTCGCGAGGCTGCCTTCAGACACGCACTCCGCTAGCACACGCCAGGGACTAGATGGCCAGATAAGCACACCCGCCACACTGCACATGCTGACTGCACACAAGCTGGCCAGATAATAAGCGAATCACCACACTGCACACACTGGGGGCAACACATACTCTGGCCAGCTAATAAGCACACGCGCCATTTTGTTCAGATCTTCGGCAAAACTTCCAAAAAGGCTCACAATCTCGACATGGCGGCCTCGGAGTCTTTCTCGAAGGCCCCCCTTTTTACCCTGTCGCTTTTCAACCCGGCCAGCCAAAAAAGGTGTTCTGCTCTCTCCTCCTGGCTACTTGACAAGTAAAATTTGGTTTCGGGGGCCCAATAATATCAACGGCTGCCCGTCGCCTGATTTCAGACCCCCATCTGATTTCCACTCCCAGCTCGTGTGCACGAGGTACGTCACGCGGGGCTGGAACCCGCTCTTCGACTGCTTCGACTGCCAAGTGCATGAGTTCGCGCTGCAGCAGGGTGAAAAGCCGCTGGCTGGGTATCTCAGGCCTGGCAAGGCTCACCCCCAGCTTGGCTTGGGCAGGTATGGGGAGAGGGTCTGTGCGCACTCGAATATACCCACCCTCCCACACCACTCCCAGGAGAGAGCGTCAAATTGAGCACCCCTCCAGGGGTTCTCTATTTCTAGGATCTCCTCCCTAGGGTAGGCCAAGAAAGCGGAGTCTGAGAGTAAGACTTGTTCTGTCCCAGATTTTGGGCCAAGATGTTGGGCCAGCCTTCCGCCCCATCATTATCGTCACCGTCAGGTATGCGGTGAAGAAGGACCTCAAGTGCGGCGCTCCGCACTGTGAGTATCTGCCGCGGGAAGTGCACCAGAGCTTCGCACAGGATCCCCAGAAACCTCGGCACCTGGTGAACCACAACAACTCGGCAGAGGAGCGAGACGGGCTCAAAAAACTCGGGTGCGTGTTTGCTTGTGTTTTCATTGCGCTTTTGCTGCACTCTTGGACCTGGATGTTTGTTTCAGGATGACGGCCTTACCCACCAGCTTGTGGGCACGAAACATTGTTGCAGCGCTGAGCGCGTGGCAAGGGTTTAGGGAAAATTACTGCTGGACGATACAAAATTGGATGACTTTACGGTGCTGCACGAAGCACATCAAATTCCTGCAATGCATGTGCTAGTGCGGCTTCAACAGAAGTAGATACCGCTTCGCGACCTTTCTGCCATGATCAGGAGATGCACTACTCAGATGACTGGTACGTCCTGGCAGCGCGCCCGGACGTGTACGCACTTGTTCCTTGGGCTGGCGACTGGAGAATGGTGACTCCCCCTTCCCACCCAGCAGCATAAAATTTGCGTCATGACAGACTGGCTGCGTGTGCTGATTTGTTTTTTTCAAGGGATACCTTTTCTCGTTGGTACGAATCCGTATCGCTGTCATGAATGTCGGTCGCTGCTGCGGGATGAAAGTTTGGTTGGGAGAGACATGTATAATGGCATTGGTTGCTGCATTGCTTGAACCTGTGATGCAAAGGGGGTCACAACAACTTTAGAGCAGCAAGTCAGCGGTGCCTGGCAGAGTCTTGCAGTTCAGCACACCTATGCCCCAACACAACACATGCCCTCCTAAGTCCTAAAGAAAATGGCCTGTTGCCTTGCTTGAGGAGGTTGCGGCAGGGGCTTCCTTCAAAGCTTGGATTTGGTTGCTCTTTGGTTTGACCTCAACCTTGCAAGCCTGGACAAACGTCGTGGGTTTGATTTGGGCGCTCCCTTCAAGATCTTGACCCCTCATCAATGTCTTAATGTATAGGCCCCTTTTTAAGTATTTCCCATGGTTGCGTGGCGAGCCTTGCGGCTGAGGTGTACTACTGTGGCTGCAACGACGCCTGTTGCGGCTATGCGGGGGCAGTGCTCTACACGCGAAGCCCATCCTTCGGGGATTTGTTGCCGGAGCACCAGGCGGAAGTCCGGCAGGCAGTGCTGGAGGCCAAAGTGGATGGCTTCGAATTCGAGGCCGGAGGAAAAATGGGTATGGGCGTGTGCCTAAATAGGAAGCCTGCAAAATGTGTTCTTTTAATTTGAATTTCCCTTTAAGACACCGCCAAAGGATGCCAAAGGGGTCTCAAAAGCACACAATTTAGATGGGCCTGTCTCAAAGGGGTTCTTTGTGGGAGGTAAAGGAAACCAAAAGACCACCTGGCGGGAGTCCCCAATTTTGAGAAACACTGATTGGCGACCCCTTGGTGCTCATCACCAACCAAGTTGAGTCTATCCTAGATGCAAGACAAGACAAGACAACCCAGAGGCACAGACAGCACACAGAGGCAGGCAGGCAGGCAGGCAGGAAGGCAGGCAAGCAGGCAGGCAGGCAGCCAGACGGACAGACGGACAGACAGACAGACAGAGACAGGCAGTCAGAGAGGCAGACAGGCAGGCGGGCAGACAGAACAAACACACTAACACTTGCAGCTCAAGCACCGCAGTCATTCTTGCGCTGTGGGTCAAAAGCAGCAACCGTACGAATACAAGCGCAGCAGCAAAAGTCACCACTGGCTGCTGTGCATGGAGCCCAGGATAAAGATGGCCCCTGTCTGTTTGGCGTTTGTTTGTCTGTCCGTCCGTCTCGAAGTCTTCACGACGTGAGGCTAAGCTGCAGACACACGCCCACGCGCATCACGACAGCTGCCTACACACGCCCACGCGCATCCACGACCGCTGCATGCATGCTGGCACAAGTTGTAATACACACGCCCGCGCGAATCCACAATCACTGTGTTCATGCTGGCACAAATGGCCCACGCGCATAACAACAGGTGCATGCATGCTGGCACAACTGGAAATACACCCGCCCCCTCGGATGTTTTCACAACCCACACATCAAACTGAACAGGATGTTGTCACAACCCACACTTGAAACTGAACAGGATGCTGTCACCACCTACACTTGAATCTTTACTGATTGACGTTGATTGTTTTAGCTGCCACAACACCAACCTATCTAAAGCCACTTAGTTAATTGTGTGCTGCATCCGTTGGCCAACGCAGTGAATTTTGAACAACAGGAGCCTTGTTTCGTGCCAGGCGGCTCGCTGCGGTGTGACCTGTGTGTTTGTCTATTTGTTTGTCTGTTTGCCTGTTTGTTTTCTGTCCGTACGTCCCGTCTTGTGTTGTCTGTCTCCTGGTCTGCCTGCCTTGTTTGTCTGTCTGTCTGTTGTCGGTCTGCCTTGTCTTGTCTTGTCTTGTTTTCTCTGGCGGCCTGCTTGCCTGCCAACCTGCCTCTGTGCCTGTCTTGCCTGCCTGTCTTGCCTGTCTGCCTGCCTGCCTGTCTGTCTTGTCTGTCCGTCCGTCCGTCCGCCCGCACGTCTCTGTGTGTGTGTTTGTTTGTTTGTTTGTTAGTTCGTTTGTTTGTCTGTTTGTTTCCTTGCTTGGTTTGGCTGGCTGGCTGGCTAGCTGGCTGGCTTGCTTGCTTGCTTGCTTGCTTGCTTGCTCTCTTGTTTGCTCTCTTGTTCTCTTGCTCTCTTGCTCTCTTGCTCTTGCTTGCTTGCTTGCTTGCTTGCTTGCTTGCTTGCTTGCTTGCTTGCTTGCTTGCTTGCTTGCTTGCTTGCTTGCTTGCTTGCTTGCTTGCTTGCTTGCTTGCTTGCTTGCTTGCTTGCTTGCTTGCTTGCTTGCTTGTGTCTTTGTTTGTTCGTTCGTTTATTAGTTTATGTATGTTTGTGTTCTTTTTCAGTATTTGTCTTGTGTTGTTTGTTACTGTTTTGCTTGTTTGCTTGTTTGCTTGGCTTATATATTTGTGTGTTTACCTTGTCTGTACCACGTCAACCTTGTTTTTCATGACGTGCTATGCTGTTATGTATGTGTTTGTATGTGTGTGTTTGTTTGCGGGATTGGTTTGCCCGTTGTGTTTTAGTGCATTGTGACCTTAGCTTTTTTCGAGGACAGGCCCTACACGTGAGAATTTTGCAGGCCTTACGCAGCTTGGTTTGTTTTTCGGCTTCACCCGTTTCGGTTTGGTTTGCCGTCAGGTGTTCTGTCAGCTAACAACGTAACGAGTCTGCACAAAAGGTTTATTCATGCGGAGGCTCGTCGTCCGTAATTGCAAGGTCTCACGTTCAGAATATTTCGACCCTGCGTGCAGGGGCTGTGCAAGCCAGATGCTTCCGCCTGCAGTACAGAACTGTTGCAGGCATGAACGCCATGAGCAATTCAAGTTCCAAGTTCCTTGGACTAGTCAGGCCCCATCCTTTCAACAGGAAATTCGGGTGGGGTGCGCCCGCTGGGGTCGGGTGGGGCCAAGACACGCAATTTTTGCTTTGAATTTCTTGTTCATACTGTTTTGCCCTCGGGAAATGATCTTTGGGCATAGTGTCATGGTCCCATCCTCGAGACCGGCCTTGCGGCCGTGTGAGCCACTGACAACACTAGGAGCTCTCTTTCTGCCCATGCCACGAACACGTAGAATTGTCAGTGGCTCATGAAGTGGTACAGCGTACAGCCATTTTCCGCCCCGGGCAGGAGCATTCAGCTTGTGGTTTTCGCTGTGGGCAAATTCATCCGCTCGGCTTTAGCGTCTTGTTGGTGCTGGCTTACATCACAGATCCATGTGGGAGGCTCATTGGAGTGCAGAAGAAAATGCAGCGCGCGTGGGCGCAATGTTGGAGCCGAACCAAAGAAAGCAGAGAAGACCCCTTGACACCAAGCATCGGTTGATCAATGTCTGTGACTTCCATTTATGTTGGCCCAGCGATCTTGGCGCCTTCCAACGTGCCACGGTCCCACAATCAAAAGATGAACCACGAGTCAAGCGCTTCTTGGACATTGCTGGTGTTGTCAGGTCTGTGCCCTGAGGTGAGAGTGATGACACATCTACACGCCTAAGATTTGCCATTCCCTGTACTTAGTGGCAGAAAAGTAGTCGCGCAATCCGTGCTCACCCGAAATTTTGTTCTAGCCTGCCAGTAAAGCACGGTCACTTGCGTCACTCTCTCAGCCACAAACCATGCAAGATGCCTGGGTGTAGCCTACTAGGGTTTCGCATCACCTTTTAAGGATGAATGTCCATCAGCCGTGGGATGGTTGGATGACTCCACGATTGCTTCACAGTGCGAAGGCGAGATGTTTGTTGAACGGTATATGTTAAGTGGTTCCGGCGCACAACACTCCACAGCCGAACCGGATGGAATGTCACAGCTATGTTTGATGTCGATAGGCTTCCGGGAGTTTATTCCATTTTTAGTTGTCCACCCCACAGGTGTCCACACATATATGTCTGCATTCTCTGCAGGAGCATGCACTTGCGTATTTGCACATTACGTGAGTAGCATACACACACACACACCTTCACACGCATGTATGCATACAACATCGGTACATGTTTGGCGTTTATGCAAAGGCTGAAACATGACAATTCGACTTACTTGCGACAACCCCGTGACCTTTGCATGGTAATCACCGAGTTTCCGTGGATTTCCGCCAAGTGCCTGAGTCACGCAACCTTGGATTGAAGCAGAAAGGAATATGGTTGAACAGCGGTTGCCTAAATTTGCTAGGGCGCCTGCAACACAATCGCAGCCCATCTAAAGGAGCAGTTCCAGCGGGAGTGGGCCAAGCTCGACTGCTGCGGCGATCAGAAAGTCGAGATCTCCAGGCGCTGCGGAAGGAAGACGGACGCCCATAGGGCCCCTCGAAGTGAACATGTTGAGTGGCCAAACGGTTACTCTGTTTTTCTGTTTTTTCCTTTTTCTCGGGGGGTTGCCTTTCACCACGGCAGGGTATTTTTGAGGATGTCACTTCAATGGACCCAGCATGGGTGGAACCATCACCTCAGAACTGGTAAGCCAATGGCTGGTGTAATCCTTTGAAGCCAGCGGGCACACGTCTCCCTCGTTTTCAGGTCAGAGGAACCTGGCTTTGGCCTTCAGACACCCTAGCAGTTCTGGTAGCGGACCCCTCTCCAGAAGCTGGGAGCAAAGGGTTTCATGAGCCAAGGTTTCAGCGACCACCCGCTATTGCTTTAACAGTTGTGGCGGGATACACGGTCTTTTTCTCGTGCATGCTGCATGCTTGTGTGTTACGTTTGTCAGCGGTAAACACTGGAGACTATGTTTGGTGGACATGCGGACGTGCAAGGCGAGCAAAGCTCGCAATTTGTGTGAACGTGAAGGCCAGGTCTCCAATCTCGACACCTTTCCAAATGCATGCCTTTGTCAAACAACTTAAGCACGTCCTTCTGCCTGAAGCGAGTCAGGCTCTGGATTGTCTGTCTGCAGCAAACATGTTAGAAGCCGTGCAGATGACAAACAAAAGCGGCAAAAGAGAAATTGAACCCGGTGCGATGGGCACAACAGGGTAATTTCGGGGAGTACCCCAGCTGATATTTGGGTTCGGCTGTTGTCGGGCATGATCATGCTCCAGTTTTTGTGTAGCCTTATGTCCAAGCAGCAGATAGCAGCAGGTGCTGAAAGCGTGAACCAGCAAAGGGCGCTTATCCTTACTCACCTGATCTTGCCAAGGCTCAAACCCAACCGGAAAGCGTGGGTTTTCCGGGGCCCTCAGGGTCGGCACAGCTCGTGCTGCTCGCCCATGCCAGGTACCTTGCGTGGCTGCAAGCGTCAACGAACCCCATCTTCAAGCAGCATGCCCCGCCCCTTCCCGCAGAGAGTCCCAGCACCACCAGCCGCGCGCTCAGGGACTGTGAGGAAGAAACATATGGGCCGGAAAGAGATGTGCAGAACCTTTGTGACATTGCATGCAACTAAGTTCGGTTTCAGCGTGAACTTCCGTGCTAGCTGCACAAAACATCCCTTATTTCCTCAGGCTGCAAGCTTATGTAGACGTATGAGCAGTAGTTGTCCGATTTGCATGGTCGGCTTGTTGACCCTCAAAGTTACACGTGAATGTCGCCCCCAGGGGCGTACTCAGTCCGCATGGGAACGAACAGTTGTTGTGCTTTTTGGTACTGGTGCCTTCTTTCATGACCAGCATCGGCTGGCCATGCTTCAGAAGTGTACAGACTTGAGTTGTGCTTGTAGCTTGCGCACGGGCTGCAGTGAACTTACGCAAGGGACTAATTAAAGACATGGCCTGCCCCTGGGCCTTGACTTGAAACAAAAGGGCATACGTGCCGGCCTCTCCCTGGAGGTCCGCCAGGCGTCGGTTTTCTAAGCTGCATGCTGGCCCCTGCTGCAGTTTCAAGTCTTACCGAGCAGCGCGCGCATGTGCACCGGACATGAAGAGCTCGAGCCAAGCCACGGTCCTAAGCCAAACCCAGACCTGCACTTGACTCGATGCAGATTATTATGACAGAGCATGGTGTCTTCAAACAAGGGATTGGTCGGCCCCGCGAAATGGTGCCGTGATGGTGGAATGGACTACGCCTGTGGTGTCGAGCCTTGGACGAGTTGTGGAGCTGCCCTTGGGGCTTAAAACATAAAACTGTCCACTTCGGTAGGGGTTCGGTAAACGAACAGCCGCACATGTACGAATGTTTGCGGAACCACATTTTGGATTCCCCCTTGTTGAGGTTGTTTCATGTGAAGGCCGTCATGCAAAAGGATTCTGCTCAGCTTTCCAAAGCTGGGGTCATCAAAGTGGCATTTGGTGGGTTCCAAAATTGCTCTTGGGGTCGATGCCATCTTCTCCACAGTGTTGCTGTTGGTGTTGAGGGTGTCGTTGCGATAGGCCAAGCACAACCTACGCATGGAAGCGTAAACCGTGCAAGTCGGGCACTCGCAGAGTTTTCACCATGGACAATGTCGAGTGGCTGACAAGGTCGGCCATGGTCAATGACTGTGATGACAAAGGCCCACCCCAGGATAACATTGGTTTTGTCAGGCAGGGCAGTGATTGCCATGGTGCACTGTGGAACCTCATGTTTTTTGCTTTAAACAAAGGAAATGTGTTATGTTGGTTTCCAATACTTGGGGTCATGCTAGTCACTCAGAAGCCTTGTGCCTTGCTCTACACCCATCGCTTCCACTTGCCGCTGCAGGAAAATTACAACCTCAAATTCGCCGGGGTTTGCCGGCACAGGTTCGTAAGGGCCTCCCCTCACAGACTGACATAGCAAGACAACCGGGTGGAGTGATAAATGCATTCACGAAATGAAGTCAGCAACAGTTGGCTGACTGCTTTTGTGATAGGATAAGCCGATTTCAGAATTGGCGTTTGCCCTTGGTTTTGGCAGGCCTCAGGTGGGCATTTGCCAAGCGAATGCATCAAGAGGTTGTGGACCCCAGCACCGTGTATTGACAATCGTGAAGCCGCTTGAGCCCTGAAATGTGTTGAGCCGACTTCTGCCCAACCCCAACCATGCCGCAAGCGATCAATCTGCCCGAGGACCATAAGTAACAATGGGCCGTCTACCCCGCGGAACTTTGCCAACCGGCGCATCAGCCTCAGCGAGCCGAGCCTCTGTGGGCAGAGGACCATCTTGGCCAGCGCCAATTCGGGGCACTCGCCCTGCGACAGGCGGTCCCCCAGCAACCAGCGGTCCATTGGGGACCCCAGTTCCCCCCGCAAGTCCTTGAAAGACCCGCAGTCGCCGGGCGGCCGATCTTTGGTGCTGCCGGGGGCGCAGATTACCAGACAGGGCGACCAGGGCCACATCATGGCAACGCGGCTGAAAAGACAGCGGCTGAAATGTTCAAAGACAGACAGCGTTTGCTAGCATGAAGGCTGAACCCCCTCTTGTGCATGATGTCTTGCGACCTTGCCATCGCTGAATGGACTATGCTTAGATGTTGCCTTCTCAAACTCTGTTTGGGTCTTTGGCGGCTAGCCAGTATGCCGAATACAGTCGCTTTGCTTGTCCCCTGAACCCGCTGTCACTCCTTTGCCCGTACTATCGTACCAAGACAGTCTGAAACCACGGTGTAGTAGTCCTTGAATCTTGCAACTACGGCCGTGGTACTTAACATGGAACCCCGGACTGATGCTTTGTAATCTTCACAAGCCGTGTGAAAGGGCGATGAAAGGCGCAGCCTTGCATCGTCTTGGTTTATGCTACTTTCCGCAACTCTTTCCGCAACTGTTTCCGCAACTCTTTCCGCAACGCTTTCCCTGCTCGTATCTCAAGGACGGATAGAAGTCTCATTTGACAGTTTCGCGTTTCTCTGAACATGCTTTGCCATAAGGCTATCGGGATCCCATGAGCCCCCAAAGGTCCAAAAGGCCTGCTGCAAACTGGCCGTC